TTATGTATATTAATATTTTATTCTTATTTGTTATTTATTTATTTAATATGTATTATTAGAAAATATTTTCTTAAAATATAATGGAACTTTGTCGAATAATCAAGAGCCATGATATACGAATAATCTAGAGACGGAGAGCGCGCTCTGAATATGCCCCGATGCTCGTAAACTTCATGTGTTAAGGCATTCATGCCCCCGTGTGTACACGGTATCATCAAGTAATCATCAAGAACAACTCTGCAGTAACAGGTTAATACTTATATTTCTATTACATAATTTAATATTACTAATCCTTAATCTAATAATAACTTTAATACCTTGATTTTTGTCTAAGACTGTTCTTGACTTTCATTTAAATCTCTTTAAAAATTGATAAAATAAAATGATTTAAAAATTTTAAATAAACAACAAGATTTATTAACAAAATTGCAAAGATTTCTGAATTTTTTAAAATCTTTGTTTTTAATGTTCTTAAAATTCATTATTGTAGTGCCGAAGAATCACTACAGTTACTAACTGTGTCTTGCAAACATAGCTTCTCAGTGATTCTTTATTACAATTGGTTTTTACACGGTTTTTTAAATTGATTTTTCTACTATAATAACTCAATATTTGTTATATATAAATACGTTTTACATTGTTTTGTAGATCACGAAGCTCTTCTACTGAAACATCCGTAACTACTGTAACTATTCCTTCACATTCTTCACATCAGTCTACATTATTCGAAGTTCTTAATAAAAGGACAAGTTTTGAAAGTGGAGGAACAAGAAGCACAATAATTACAGAAGCACTAATTTATGCTTTGCAGAGATAATATGCCTACCAGAAGTGTAGAGAAAGAAGGTTTTTCTCATTTTGTAAAAACACTTTGCCCAATGTATAAAATACCTTCAAGATTCACTGTAACAATTCTCATTGAACAAAAATATGATCAGTGCAAATTATATCTTAAAAGTTTGTTAGATAAAGTACATTATGTGTCTTTGACATTGGATATTTGTACAATCACGAACTCAATTAGAAGCTTTCTGGTCGTAACTAGTCATTTTATTAATCCTAAAACTTCTGCTCTTGAATCGATTTGTTTAAAAGCGACACAGTTGACAGAAAGATACACAGCAGAAAACATAGCTCAAGAGTTTCACAAGATTTGTGAAGAATTCTCTATCAGCTCATCTAAAATTGTTTCTATTACTACAGATGGAGCTTCTAATATACAAAAAGCAGTGGAACTATTTTCACCAAAATCACCAAAATGGATTTGGTGTTTTGCACACGTGACTAATTTGGTAGTACAAAATGCTTTAAAAAATACAACTGAATTCGAGAAAATAATTTTACAAATCAAACGTGTTGTTACGTACTTTAAACACAGTACACTTGCGTCAGATGCACTCAGAGCAGAACAATCAAAACTTGGAAGGAGTGAAGGCAATGTATTATATCTTACGCAAGATATTTCTACTCGGTGGAATTCAACTCTTGATATACACAAATTTGAAAAGCTGGCACCTATTTTAGGAACCATTTTGGCTAGTAAGGATCATAAAGATGGTCCTCAAATGTTGGCAGGATCACATCTTAAAGTAGTATCTGAGATTATTCGCCTTCCAGAACCTTTTAAAGAAGCAACTCTTCAAATATCAAGCGATAGCAATGTTACTGCCAGCATTGTTTTACCATTGTGTCATAATGTACATGATACATTAAATGAGTTCAAGCCTATCACTTATTCAGCAATGGAATTAAAACAAAATCTATTGAAGGAGATTGAAGCAAGGTATAATGTTTTTGAAAAAAAACAAGCTTCTTGCTATTGCAACTTTGCTTGATCCAAGATTCAAGAGAGTGTACAATTTTTCTATTCTGCCTCAGGCAGAAGCTACGTTACAATTGTACAAAGAAATCAAAGATGAAGCAAAACAACAAGACTTTTTCTTACCATAACAAAGTTCATCTGCGTCAGATCAAGAAACTTCAAACTTTATTTGGGCGAAGCATATACAAAAATTAAAAAGAAATACAAATGGAACCAATGGAGATGAATTATCTGATGGAAAAATGTCACCTCAGTTAAAATTATACTTCAGTTCTCCTCTGCTTTCATTGTCAGAAGATCCTATTAAATATTGGCTGAGTTGCAAAACATTTTCTCCTATATTGATGGAAGTTGCTATGAAATATTGTATAATGATGGGTTCTTCCATGGCTTCAGAGAGAGTTGTTTCGGCCATCAACAATGTCGTTACCGATAAAAGAAATAGATTAACAAGTCGTCATATCGAGGAAGCCGTTTTCCTTACTTATTTTACGAAAAATATGTTTAAATTATTATAATCATTTAAGTCATTGTATTATTATAGACATCTAAGTCAATGTATTATTATTGTATAATTTACTAATATAAAAGTTTTGTTTTTAAAAAATATATACCTATATATATATGTGAGTTGTAATTTTAATTTATTTTTAAAAAATAATTATCTTTTGCTTAATTTTAGCATTTACTATAGATTTTTTAAATCAATATTTAAAGACTAGTGACATTATATTAGTATCAATAATACATAAAAGGAAGGGTTTCGTTTGCTTTACACGTTTTAAGCACAAATTACTTATATCAATTAGAGCTCCTGTTCAGATTTATCAATTATTTTGTGTTTAATCGAGATTATCAAGAATGTAAGTAAACTTTTTCTACATAAAATATTAAAAATTTTTGTTTATTATTAAAAAATTTCAAGTATATATTATAAATTTAGCTTTCTTTAAATTTATTATTTTATTATTCTATATATTCGATATAATGCCTATTCATTTAGGATAAATATAAATAATTTTTAAATTGATGAATATATTCATAGTCGATATTTTTGCTCGATATCGACAACTCTATCAGGACCTGGTGGTCTTTCTGATTTCGGAGCTCCTTTTATACCCGGGGTCGTTCACTTCTCCTCTTCGCGACAATTTGTTAACAACAAAATAACGAAATTTCGCATTCGGCCGCGATCGGCGCCGTTCGACGGTTTCTGTGCCGTTAGACGGTCGACGGCAACATCTTTGTCGGCTGGCCTTAAGCCGCCAGCCGACTATCGACGATATTCGGAGAGCTTAAAAAAAATGGGCGCACCGCGCCTTTCTCATCCGACGGCTCGTCGGTCGGGCGGCATCTGGCGGTTGTTCGGCCGGGAACGATACACTTTCGGGAATGCATCGTTACAAATTAAATAAAAAATTGTGATTTTAATAATTAGAAAATTAACTAAATAAGTCCAATAAAAAATTGAAAGCATGAACTTACATAAAATGATCAAAAAGAGCATATGATTGTAAGTATGGACAACGTATCCGAAGATGTGTCTTGTCATAACGTTACAGACAAAGTGAGGGAAAACGCGGTAATAATAATATAAAGCGTGGTAATAATAATATAAGTGTCCTTCTGTCGTATCATAAGCGCTATATACATAGAGACAGACTTTCGCGAGTTACAGTTTTGAAAGCGCATTAA